GGACGGGTAAGAGTAACAAGTCGGGTATCCGGCGGGTCAACGAATTTTTGCAGAGTACTCGTTTTATAAGGCACCTGGTTTTTGCGGATCAGATAAAAATATTATTTTTCAAATACCCGTTAGAGTCGGATCGGGTAACGGGTACTCTAAATTTTCAAGGTACCCGTTTCGTGCCCAGCCCTACCTCGGATTACTGAGAGTCGATTGTCTGATCATTTAATTAAGTTGACCCTTTGGAGATTGTACAAATGCATATTTACGTACAAGTTGAATCATTATTTTTGCAGTTTTGCTTCAATGTAATTTAAAAGAAAGAGTCTCAATGATCGCCTGATCCATTTTAAAACATTTGATTTTAAAATTTACCCAAAAATGTCTTAATATATACGCTTAATATCCGGATGTATACGCTTAATTATCCGGATAATTGTAAACGTTTCATTGACTATCTGGCTATGTAATTGGTTAAATCTTAAATGGTTTTCATTTACAATTATGTAGCGTTTTTTTTTTTTACAAAGAAGAAGTTTTTTCGTCTTAACACATACACAAAAAGTGGTTGGGGCTTTGTCGCGATTGATGAATACTATTTAAAAAAAAAACACATACACAAAAAGTCTTACAAAAAGAACAACACGTAATGAGTATGCCATTAAAACACAGTAACAAACTGTTATTCTTTTAAACATTGGTAATAACTTAAAATTTGATGAGGCCAAAAAATCCACACGGTAAGATGTGATGAGTTAATTTTGCATCCAGTTATGTTTTGTTTTCTTGGGATGAAAACTAGCATTTTAAATAATAATTGTTATTTTATTTTGCGCCCATAGCAATTTTATCCTTCAAACAATAAAATGGTGAAGTTACACAAAAACTTTAGAAGGTCAAATAATTCACCTGTTCAATACAAGAAGACATGTCTTCTCGAAGAATCTTTCTCATACAGATCCATTGATACAACCAAGTCTCAACCAATGAAACAGAACATTGAATTAAACAGGTATCAATGAAACAAACACTCACACGCATACGCATACGCATACGTAATCAAGACAAATGATTAATAATCTTATACTAATATCTAACTAATTAAAAAAATATTATACTAATCAAATTTCTAACAATAATTGTATTAAGGGCAAAAGAATCTTTAAAAGAGGGCAGGACACAAACCACACCATTAACAAGATCCAAACCAAAACTG